CCAGGGAGCGAACCCACAACCTAGGTAGGAGCCCTGACCTGGAATTGAACCCACAGTCTTTTGTACAGGATGATGCTCCAGCCAACTGAGCCACACTGGTCAGGTCAGATGAGACTCTGGCTTGATTTTTTTTTCTTTAGAAATATTTAAAAAAATTTTAAAATTAGAGAGTGAGAGGAAGGGAAAGGGAGAGATAGAAACATCTGTGAGAGAGAAACATTGATCGGCTGCCTCCTGACCACACTTTACTGGGGATTAAGCCCGAAACCCAGGCATGTGCCCTGACCAGGAATCAAATCAGTGACCTCTTGGTGCATAGGACAACACTCAATCCACTGAGCTACACAGGCCTGGCTTAATATTTCTTTAAAAAATATTTTTATTGACTTCACATGGAAGGGAGAGGAATAGATGGGAATATACACATTCATGCAGGTTATACACATTCAGTAATTATTAACAGTTGGGTTACATTTACATTGTATAGGGTTTGAGAAAAGCCTAAAGAACAAGTATTATTATTATTATTATTACTAACAGTAGTAGTAACATTAATTTGTAGGTCTATAGGCCTTGTTGGTATCTCAGGATGGCTGTCCATTTTTGATGTTTAGGCTTTTTATTCTTGAAAACTCTTTGATCTCCACTGTAGATAGAGGTAAGTGTCAGAGTCAGGGTCAGATGTCCATTCATGGTTAGGCACCTGATTAGGTAAGGTCTCTTCCAACACTGTTGTAGAGAGTCTTTAATTAATGTCTTTACCATTGGACAGAAATCTCCAGGTTGTAAGTTATGGTCTTAGAAGTCTTCAGAATTTTATACATTTTTATCTAATTTAAAGATATGATCTCTTTGGAAACCTGTAATTTAGAGTAAGTCAGAGTCTTTTTTATGGATTTTTCTAAAGATATATTTGTAAATGTATAAAATAAAGTGACTGTAAATGACAAAACAAAATGGTGTGGTAATAAATTTGATTTCAATGCAATTGATAAAAAACAACAACACTGTTTTTGTAAGAAACAATAGTCAAAGACAACAATTTTTTTGTAAATAAGTTACACATGGCTTATTAGAAGTGTGTATTGAGCATTGGAAATAGTTTATTCCCAATGTGTGGATCACAAATATCCAGATGTCCCCGTAGAGAACCATTGCTCATGGCTTGCCCTGTACCACCAACAGGACACTGGCTATCCCTGGGAGTTGCCTGTTTGAACTTGGCTTTAAATATTTGCAAGTTTTTCCCTAGGGCAGAGTGAAATATTTAGAATATCCATTTTTTGAAAAATATGTGTACATAAATAGGATATTATTACTATTAGTATTCATTTTGATTTGGGAAAGCTTTCTGTATTTCTTTCACCAGGTAGGAGACGTTTTATATCATCATTTCTTCACATAGGTTTTCAATATCTTGCTCTCTCTCTTCTCCTTCTGGCACCCCCATAATGTGAATGTTGGTATGCTTGAAGTTATCCCAGAGGCTCCTTACACTATCTTCATATTTTTGGATTGTTTTCTTTTTGTTCTTCTGATTGGGTATTTTTGCTTCCTCATATTCCAAATTGCTAATTTGATTCTCAGAATTTTCTACTCTACTGTTGAATCCCTTTATATAATTCTTTATTTCAGTTAATGTGTGCTTAATTTCTAACTGATCCTTTTTCATGTCTTTAAAATTCTAAGATCCTTGAAAGTCTCACTAAGTCCCTTGAAGCTCTCATTAAGTTCTTTGAGTATCTTTATAATCATTGTTTTGAAGTCTGTATCTAGTCATTTGTTTGTTTCCATTTCATTTAGTTTTTTCCTGGAGATTTCTTCTGTTCTTCCATTTGTGATGTTTCTTTGTCTCTGCATTTTAGCTGCTTCCCGGTGTTTGTTTCTATATATTAGGTAGAGCTGCTATGTCTCCTGGAATTGATAGAGTTGCCTGTGTATTTGGTGTCCTGTAGGGCCCAGTGACTCAGCCTCCCCAGTCAGCTGACTTGGGCACTCTAGATGGGCCCCTGTGTGGGCTGTGTGCACAGTCTTGTTGTAGTTGAGCCTTGATTGCTGTTGGCATCACTTGGAGGAGTTGACCTCCAGGCCAATTGGCTGAAGACCAGCTGTGACTACAGACAAAGAACTGCTATGCAAGAGATACCCTATGGGGCAGCACTTGCTTCAGTGGGGCTTTGGTGTTCACTGAGTCTGCCCCTTGATTATGTCACTCATGGGTGTGTAGCATTGTAATTTTGTATAGTCTGAAGCTGTCCCCCAGCTGGCTCTGGAGCCTGGTGCACTGGCTCTGGGGCCTGGTGCACTGGCTCTGGGGAGGGCAGTTGGGGGGAACCAGACCTGCAGAGGAGGGCAGTTGGGGGTGACAGGCCAGCAGGGGAGGGCAGTTGGGGCAATCGGGTCGGCCGGGGAGCAGTTAGGCGTCGATCAGGCCAGCAGGGGAGTGGTTAGGGAATGATCAAGCTGGCAAGCAGGCAGGTGAACAGTTGGGAGCCAGCAGTCACGGATTATGAGAGGGATCCAGATTGGAGAGGGTACAGGCTGGGCTGAGGGACACCCCCCAGTGGGCCTCTAGTCTATATGATAAAAGCCTAAGCAACCATTAAAGCAAAACAACCAGAACGACTGGTTGCTATGGCGGGAGCCTCTCCTGCCTCCACAGCAGCACTAAGGAGCAGCAAGCTGAGCAGTAAAGAGCAGCGAGCAGGCGGGTGGTATAGAGCGAGGGGTCCCAGACTGCGAGAGGGATGTCTGACTGCCGGCTTAGGCCCACTCCCAGACCTAAGCCAGCAGGTGGACATCCTCCGATGGGTCCTGGGCTGCAAGAGGGCACAGGCCAGGCTGAGAGACCCCTCCCCAAGTGCACAAATTTCATGCACTGGGCTTCTAATTTATAATATTATTCAAGGGCCATACAAAATTATCAACTTAAAAATTAGCCTGCTATATTTGGTCAAACATTTAATTAAGTCATCCCTAATGCCTTGGCAGGGCCAGATCAAGTGATTTCGTGGACCTTATTCAGCCTGCGAGCAGATGTTGCCCACCCCAGTGCTATGTGTTCAAAAGTTTGTTGAATAAATGTGGGAGTAGGTGGGAGGAATACTTGGGCATAATAATGATAGTTAATATGTATTGCTAAGTAGTACTATTTTAAGGGCTTTCTAGAAATAATTTAATCCTCACAGTAGCCTAATGAATTTATTTACTCATTTAAAGAGGAGGAAATTGAGACACAGAGCAAAAGTTCCCTAACCGAGGTCATCCAACTACTAAGAAGCTGAGTTGAGAACTGAACCGAGCTATTCTCAGTCTCCACCCTTATTCCTTAATCTGTTTGTTGTCAGGTTTGGAAGGAATAGTTTGTTAAGGACTATGAAAGCTATGCTAATAAGCTTTTAAAATAAATATTTTTTTTTATTGATTTCAGAGAGGAACGGAGAGGGAGAGAGAGATAGAAACATCAATGATGAGAGAGAATCATTGATCGGCTGCCTTCTGCACTCCCCCTACTGGGGATAGAGCCTGCAACCCGGGCACGTGCCCTGATGGGGCATCGAACCATGAACTCCTGGTTCATAGGTCGATGCTCAACCAGTGAGCCACACCAGTTGGGCTGTTAACACCTTGCTGACCAGTCACGAGTTAACTCTTGTTTCCACTAACATTACTTACAACATTAATGTAAGTAATTTTATTTTATTTATTTTATTTTTTAAAATATATTTTATTGATTTTTTACAGAGAGGAAGGGAGAGAGATAGAGAGTCAGAAACATCGATGAGAGAGAAACATCGATCAGCTGCCTCCTGCACATCTCCCACTGGGGATGTGCCCGCAACCCAGGTACAT